GTCATATGTTTGCCATTTGTCTCGCATTGCAGTCAATCATTGGTTGTGTGAAGCGTTTCAATGAACCGTACGATCGCTGAAGAAGTTATGACCGCAGAGGAAGACACTGTTTGCCATTCATTAGTCAAAAAGGTGTGCATAAAGACATCACTTTTATCTCAACCACTCATCGATTGCATGATTTTTGTATTCATTTCACGTTTTCATTGTCTGTTTGTAGCCAAAGATGTCGTCCACTGCCATGACTGCCGCTGACGAGGAATACTATCCGCACGACTCGTTTGACAGATATGGCGACGACTTGTGTGGACTCATACTGTCGTACCTGTCGTCCAGCGACTGCTTCCGCTTCGAGTGTCTGTCCGCACAGTGGCGTCGACTGGTCTACAAGAGTGCGCACAGTCTCGTCATCTACGGTAAGGAACCGAACAGTTGTCTCAAGAAAGACGACTCGAAGCCCAGAGCCATGAATTGGAAGACATTGCAAGTGATGGTCAAGAAGTTGCCGATCATTACGTCCATATATATCGAGATCAACACCAAGACCACAGAGAAGGTGTTGGAACAGCTGCTCATTGAGTGCCACAATTTGGCGGCCATTCACGTGACGTTCGGCGACACCATTGACGGCCAGATTGCGGACCAGATTCTCGACAAATATGGCCACCAGTTGACGGCCGTATCGCTGCCGAAGTCCAATGATGTGATCAAAGCCTTTAACTCTCATTCCGAGTCCTATACGCGACTGCAAGAGATTATTCACTGCAATACCGTTCCCCTCAAACTGTCGGTGCTTTTCAACGATCACAACGAACTGCTGGTCAAAGACTTGACTAGATTTACGTTTGACTACACGGGTGATCAGGATTTGCCACTTTTGCAGACATTTGTCGATCACTACAGTCATCGCCTGAAGTCTATTCAAGTGCACCGGTATCTCACCGATAAGATGGAAGTGCTGGATGTGTTGACACAGTTGTCCAAACTGGAGGTTTTGAATGAATTGAAAATTTACGTCAATTTCAAAAAGATATCGATTACGAAGACATTCACCGATTGTCTCAAACAGTTGTCCACTAAATGCCGGCGTTTAAAGAGTTTTCGGTTCTATATGTACGACATTAGGGACACAGAAATGACACAAATATTGCCATCGATTAGTGGTTTCAAACGATTACGAGAACTACAGCTAATGTTTTCAAAGCCTAACACCGAATCCCATGAGAATTGTCTCGATTTTAGTCTCAAATCATTGTCGCCATTGAAACGGATGACACACTTGTGGCTAACGTTTGGTGGGTTTGCGTTGAATGAGACACTGTTTGACTCGATTGACACGCATTTACCACGACTTCAGACACTGAAGTTCACGAGTAGTCTGGAGATAAGCGCCGGTATTGAGGAGTCGGTGCATAAGTTGCCAAAACTTAGGCGATTTGAGTTGCAAACAAAATAACTGTTTTATACCAATAGTTTTGATTGATATTTGTTTTTATTGCTAATAAAATACTGTAATATAAATACTAAT